AAATATCCTTTCCGGTCATATGCTGCTGCTCGACTGCGGGAGCCTCAGTCCAACTATGCGGACCGAAGGGATGAATTATGCCATTGATTTCCAGCAGAATTGGGCATTTAGGGCATTACTGACGACCATCATTGCGATGTCTGACGTTCTTGTTCAAGGTCCCGCTGTCTCAAGGTCATTCACCTTGGTAGCGAGAGCTCCCAGACGCTCTGACTCGCACCCCCTCGACCGACTTCAGCTCGGACACACGCGCGTCCACACAGGTGCACCTGCCCATGCGCCATTCGAACACACCACCCCTCGGCAAGTCAACATAAGCCACTAGAAACCACCCCTCGGCCAGTGCAACACACCAATTGGACAGAGCTTTAACTTGTCTCATTCTCTCCTATGCATGGCTGGGCGCAGTCAACATTAGGCTTGGCCTCGCCAGCGGCCACTTGGGGCGACTCAAGGTTCTATCTACCATTCGTTTCACCTTCTTGCTACGTCTGCCTTTTCCTGCTGTTCGGGACTTGACCTTATGACTGTGGCGGTCTGAATGCACTCAAACGGGTTAGATGCTACAGGGACCCTGCCGAAATGGATCAAATGCCGCGTGAACGGCGATTAACAGGCACAATAACCTACCCTCTCCATATTCAGGGCCGAAACCTTGCCTATGGGAGAGTGCGGACGAAGATCGCTCCCAGTGTTAGTATGAGCATGCAAAACTGGTGAGTAATTATCACGCCACTAATCAAAGCCAGTGACGAAATTGCGAAAATTGATCACATGGATGCGGAAAAGTAAGCAATCGTTGCACCAATTACGACCACCGACGATTCATGTGAGTAATAGCCGTGATCGTAGAGTAACCATACCTTAAAAGTACTGAGTCTCTTGTACGCCCATGTCTCTGCTGATGCGTTCGAGTGGAAGTCATAGTGTCGGCTGAAAAAAACGTCTTTTTCTAGCTATCACAGCTCGTTCTTCTGAACGAGTGAAATCTTGGGTTCATCCATTTGCTTTTCTGAGAAGGAATAGTCTAAGCTGACTACATGGGGGTATTTGTTTTCGATTTTACCCTTTATAGTCCTCCCCTCTCTGCGGAGGCCTAGGGGCACTAAGAAACGCCGCCCATAATGAAGATTTGAACAAATAGACAGCAAAGTCTTTTCCACTAATTTCTCCCAGGTCGGCACCTCACTTCTGTGACCAACTTGATGAAACGCTACAGCGCCAGACTTGCCCGGCAGCCCCTCTGATAGCCGAGTCCAGACGACAGCAAAACTCTTCGCCAACAGATTCGTCTGGCTCAGCATCCACTGGGATGCACTATGCTGGATGCGCCCTTGCCTTTCATGCCAAAGCCCTATCATACCACACCCTGTGGCTGATGCCCCAATTGAACTTCTGTAAAAGTCATGGCATCACACCTGCCCGGCTCGAGAAACGCCTGTCACCATCGCGACAGTTTGACCATCGATTCAGACGATGTCTACCGTGTGCTACACAGCAAGATGCAGCAGGCACGGTGACTTGCGCGTGAATTAGTTTATAGTGATAGAAGACCTGCGTGGGAAGTGGCAGTTGGGTGCTTGAGGCGGGTGATGTGCAGTGAGATGCTGGTGTGAGAGTATGTGGTGGTGTGATACAGCCGGCAGTTGTCTACCGCGGGTTTTCGTGGACGTGTATGTGACCTATTAGACTCATGCGGCGAATGAATGTGCAAGTGTAATGTGGACAGTGGAGGCGGATGCGGCGAGTGTAAGTTGGTGCTCCAGACACTGGTTCGTCAGCCTCTGTGCGATGGATTCGCAAGTGACGACCAGGCCGATGCGTGAAGTGAATGCATGGGGACAATGTGGACATGAGAAGTCGGCAGTGCCAGTATCAGCTTCGGCGATGGTGATAGTGGAGCTGGTGGTGGGCGCGCTGGGCGACGGATTGTGGGCGGGGCTAGGCATGGTGGGTGTGCTGGATCTGCTAGTTGTGTCGCGGATACGTATGTGGCTGAATAGGCTAATGCAGTGCATGAATGCGCGTGGGGAGTGTGGGCAGTGGAGTCGGATGCGGCGGGTGTAGGTTGGCGCTCCAGGCACTGGTTTTTCAGTCGTTGTACAATGGATTCGCAAGTGACCGACTAGGCAGATGTGTGAGGTGAAGGTACGATTGCAATGAGGACAGGTATAGACCAGGTCCTCATCACTGATGTTGAGAGTGGTGATGTTAGTGTTCACTGGTGTGTCGGGATTGTATGTAGTGTTGATGGGCATGGCAGACGCCACAACGGCAGTCTTTGAAGGGCTGGAAGAGGAGGAGGAGGGGGAGGAGGATGGTAGTGACGGTTCGGGAGGGCGACCAACGTTATTTGACGGCGGGGGAGACGAGGGAGAGGTCGGAGGAGAGACGACGGTTGGTGTAATTCGGGTGCTGCAGATGGTCGAAAGGTGTCCAAAAAGTCTACTTGGCGTCCATAACGTTCGTTACTATTGTGGACAATATGGAGGCGGTTGGGCGTTGGCGTTATGAGTTGGCGGCGGTGACAGATGAGATTTGCGTGTCTGTGCTTGGCTTCGAAGATTGCTGCGCCTGTCTTTACTTCTCTTCTCCACGTAGGTCGGTCCCGGGCGAGGTCTTCCCAGTTTGCCGGGTTGATATGTAGGCGCTTCAGAGAGGTCTTCAGAGTTTCATTGTATCGACGGATTGAGCTTCCTGGGCGGAGCGAACCCGTCGCGAAATCTCCATAGAACAGTCATTTGGGTAGCCTCTCGTCGTCCATGTGCACGAGGTGGCCGCTCAAGCGTAGATGCGGTTGTCCCAGCATAGTGTATATACTGAAGATTCCCGTCCGCTCCAGTACGGCCGTGTCTGGGATCCGGTCCTGCCATCTCAGACTTAGTATACAACGTAGAAAACTGAGGTGGAAGTGGTTGAGTCGGCGTGCCTGCTTTGTGTACACTGTCCAAGTCTCTGCTCCATACGGTAGCGTCGGTAGGATGACGGCCTTGTACATCTTCAATTTCGTATCGAGCTGAAGGCCGTGACGATTCCAAACTGTGTGTTGAAGACGACCGAAGGCTTGACTGGCCTTCGAAATCTAGCGGGCTACTTCGTCGTCCATTTTCGTGCTGCGGGAGAGGGTGCTGCGTAGATACGTGAAGTTGCCCACCACTTGCATTTGGACGCCGTTCACACAGAGTTGCGGCGCATTGTAGGCTGTGTTAGGTGGCGGTTAGTATATGACCAACATCTCCTCCATGTTTATGACCAGACTGAAGTTGTCGCAGGCTAAGGAAAAGAAATTCATGCTCCTTTGCATGTCCTCTTCCGAGGTGGTGTTGAGGGCGTGGACAGTGGTGTATCCGCCTGTAGTTGAGGAGGAGGCCGTTCGTCCTGTAGGCGATGCAGATCTCGGGGTGTTCGTCACAGTAGGCGTCCATCAGTATGGCAAAGAACATAAGACTGAAGAGGGTGGACGTCATGACACAGCCCCGCTTCACTCCGTTGCTCACTGCGAATGCCTCTGAGACAGCCCCATTGTCTGTGACTCGCGCCATCATGCCGTGGAGCTGACGCACTATCTGAGTGAATCGTTAGGGACAGCCGAATTTCTGCATGATTTTCCACAGTCCTTCGCGATCCACTGTGCCGAAGACTTTCGTCAGATCCACGAAGGTAGAGTACAGGTGACTCCGCATATCCGGACACTTCTCCTGCAGTTGGCGGACGGCAATGATCATGTCCGTGGTCCCACGATGACGGCGGAAGCCGCACTGGCTTTCGAGTAGGAGACCTTGTTGCAGATGGTGGTTCAGGCGGTTGGGGAGAGTGCGATCGACAATCTTCCCGGCGATGTTCAGCAAGGATTGGCCTCGATGGTTGTCGTAGAGCTGGCGATTAGCTCCCCGTTTATAGAGATGCACGATTGTGGCGTCCTTGAAATGCTGCAGGTCTTCTGCTTGACGCCACATCTGAAAGAGCGACGTCAGATGATCCATGAGTTGGGGGTCACCGTGCTTGTAGATCTCAGCAGGGATTGCGTCCGATCGGGGCGCTTGCTCGCTGGAGAGCTGCTACGCCGCCCTGATGGTTTCGTGAAGAGAGGGCGGGAGGTTGAGGTCGGCGTTGGCCTCCACTTGCGGCAGACGAGCGATGGCGGCATCGGAGATGGTGGAGGGGCGGCTGAGGACGCCTCTGAAGTGTTCGGCCCAACGCTGTAGAATTTGCCCCTTTCCAGTGAGTAGGGTACTGTCGTCGGCGCCGAGGGGAGGTGCAGTGTCTTTTGTTGGCGGACCGTAGACTGCTTTGATCGTGGGGAAGAAGTTCTTCCATTCGTTGCGGTCCGCGTACCCCCGGATCTCCTTGATCTTGAGAGCCGTCCAAGCGTCCTGCATCTCACGCAGCCGCTGTTGCAGAAGGCGGCGACTACGGTGGAAAGCAGCTCTGTTATAGTTGGTGAGGCGACTGACGTAGGCTTTGTGCAGGCGGTTCTTCTCGACGGGCTGGTTGCTGATGGCAGTGCCTTTGGCATCGAACCAGTCCTGGCGTTAGCGTAGTATGCGACCGAGGACGGCCAGAACCGTCGACTTGACTGTGTCCCGCAGTTGACATCATCGGTCCTCCATGGATTCGTTCACGTCAACGACAAAAGCGGCTGGAAGGTTGGCTAGCCGTTGAGCTAGCTCTTTGCTGAAATGGAGATAGTGAGCAGGCAAAGACAACAAAGCAATATTCAGCTTACCTGGGGTTGCTCACCTTGAGATCTCCTGCGAGGCTGTAGGCAAATCCGCAGCTTGGAGATGGCCAGACGATGGGCGGTCCACCTGTCGGCACCCGGGACCGCCTTTGTCGCCAGCACGTCCCGCTGGTCTCGCCTACGGACGAGGACATAGTCCAGGGTTGCCGTTGTCGCGACCGAGCTTGCATCCAGGTGGCCTTCTCTCGCATCGGGAGGCGGAAAAGGGTGCTGGTCAGCATGAGCCGTTGTTCTGCGCATGTGAAAGAGTGTTGTTTCTAGTTTGGTTGTTTTGACCGTGAGTTTTGCGTTTGGGGCCACGGTCAGCCTGCAGACGGCCTGGATCCCCAGCATTTGTTTAGGGCACCTTTTCTAGTCACTTCCCCTCGTGGAGGTGGGCAGTGCTCTCCTTAAATGGAGCTGCTCAGTTGTCCCAGGCGACTTTTTTGGCGGGAGAGACCCGAGTTAGCCTGGGACTGCCTACGATATCACCGTAAGCTTGAAGGGGGGGGGAAGGATAGAGAGATGGAATGCAGAGCTTTCCCGTTCCTCTCTAAACTACCCAGTGGTTGAGATATAAGCGGTAAACAGTCGAATTCAACGGAACGGCAGTTAGCTTAGAATAAGGTGAGAAAGGAACAAGCAGACAAAAAGCAAGCAGGCAAGAACAGCAAAAAGCAAAGGCAACAGAGGCAGTTCAACCGAACGGCGTCTAGTTTTCAACAAAGACAGACACAAACAAACACAGAGAAAGTAAGCAAGAACAAGCAAAAGCAAAGGCAGCAGAGCAATGTTCGCTTACTTGGGGCTCACTTACCTTGTGACCTACGGTGTTCTAGATGTATCCTCATCACAGAGATTCCAATGCGGCCAGCAGAGCCGAGATTACCGTGTGTGGAGATACACACACGGATAAACTCATCTGGTTTAGCCCGCAAGTCAAGACGGCTACCGGGGTGTGGCCGCTAGGCAGAGCCTAGCTTGGGGGAACTACAGGTTAGAGCTGGGTGCCGGCAAGTGGATGCTAGGCGTAGTCTACACCTACAAGCAAGTGAGTGACCTACTACGACCGTCACGTGGGCCCACAGCTGGGCACCCCTGCACCCCTGTCACCATAAACAGGCTTTCAAACGCGCATGTGCACTGAATTAAATTGTTCAGTTTATAGTTGGGTCAACGGTCGACCCCTCATTTTGTTCGGTGTCTGGAGCAGAGTTGTTGCGCCTGAATCACATCTGAACCTTCCGCGGTGTCAGGAACCATGTGATCATAGCTCCCCAGCGACCGGAACATGCGCACATACAGTTTCAAGGACAGCCAGTTACAGGCGTCCACGAACTCCACTTGACACTCATTTGCGTCCACATCAGCTTAGCGGATGGGCGCACGCAGGCCCAACGCCAGCCACTCGTCGACCGAGGTTCTGTGCAGAATGCACGACTTCAACTGGTACGTTTTCTTTTATCCTTCAAAACGGGACTGGGCTGTGGTCATAGTGGTGTTCTGAGTACACCCACTAGTCAGACGCTACACTGCCTCTTTTATTTTCGTTCGTCCAATTCCCTTTAGAAAATTTCTACTCTGAGGGCGGCAACCAATCCCGTATGGGTTTGGGGACACTCCAGGTTGTTTCCCCACTAAACTAGTCGCGAGACAATAGAAGTTGACGGGCGTCTAAAATGTTTTGACAACCGTATCGAGGGAAGCACTGCTTACCCCCTCGTGGGAGAAAAGGCTATAAAGTCCGCCTCAAACGAACACCTCAGTGCCGTCTAGACACCTGACCGTGGATGCTGAAGATGACAAACCAGACTGAAACCTACAAAACAGAAACGGTCGCCGCCCTAGATCAGAGGTTCTCCCCGCTAGGATGTTTTTTCACCGATACATGCGTCCTCACCTAGACAACCCAGAAGGGTGGGTAGCTGTAATACAAGGTGCATATCGCGGTTGTAAGTGAGGCTAGCTTTTCAAAGCAGGGGTAATTGAACGACGTAGATGCGCGATAAATCTCCTTCTGGAATGGGCAGCCGAAGTCGCCTTCGTCATCAAAAATAATGGCGTGAGAGAGTTTCCCTCACTCTGGCAAGGCATTAAAGAACCTCTCGTGACAACGAAGTTCTTGCTCCGCTGCAAGAAAGTCGTCGAAATTCTCTGAGCCTATGCCACCCAATGATGAGACATGACGAGGCGGAGGACGAGTTTTACAAAGGTCTACGCATCCTCGTCGCGTCTGTGCCGAGGGCAAACGAGTGTATTATCTTCGATTACATCAATACCAGCGTGAGCATAGACGACATCACCTGGGAGGGAGTGCTCGTTTGTAATGAGGTCGGTAGCTTCAAAGGCGACCGACTTCTCTTGTCGTTAGAATGCACAGAACACAATCTCTACACCAGCACATTATTCCGCTTTTCAAGCGGGGGAAGACAACGTGGCAACTGGTGGAATGCGTCCACGTCGGGAGTCAACATAAGTGGGGTGCGCCGATGACAAAGGCAATGTGTGGCGGCGAATGCTGGGTGGACGGTCGCCTGTCCTCGCAAAATGGGACTGAAAATCAAAGCCCAGGGGCCGTATCTAGGCAAGGAAGCACAAAGTTAGTTACACAAGTTCATACGGGAGAGACCAAAAGCTAACTGAATCTCAACAACAAAAGGAGCATTAACTCAGAAAGAGTGCAAGTCTTGAAGGACGATGTCGTCACCAAACGGAACAAAATGCAGTACACCATTCATATGATTGCATTAAAAGAATTTGAGTCCGTAGGTCGACAGTACCAAGAATGGGTTGGTGACAATGGCGAATAATGTTTCGTCTCCTGTCTGAGGAAAACAGGATTTACAAGTCCTGTGTGAACAACAGTACGGACGTGGGCAAAATCGCATTCTCCCATTGCCGAAACGGACAGAGACGCAAACAGACTGACTTCAGTTTAAGAGAGATCCAGGTATATACGGACGACGGGGAAGTGGAGAATTTCTTTATTCACATTATGATAGTCTGAAACCCTTAGGAGGATCACCCCACTGCTCGGCTCTTCTCGGGAAGGTTGCGTCTTCTAGAGAACTGGATCAAACACCTCAAGAGTGTACTTAAAAGCCAGTATGAAATCTTCGAGGCAGCAACTAGAAGACTACCTTAAACGGCAACAAATACCGCCCTCTCGTGCAAGAGGAGATCAGGACGCTACGGGGGATGCCCAGCAGAAATGCCCCGCGCGGGCACTATTCCGTCGGAAGTCAATAAACACGGTGATACTCGACTTCTGAGCAGACAAACCTCGCAGGTTCAAATGTCTGGACACGGATACTGTGCCGTAAGACATCGAAGACGCCGCCACTGCCCACTTCAGCAAACGAAAAAAGAAAACGTTAAGCATGTGACAATTACTGAGAAATCTATCTCATCAGCATTTCAGGCAAGATATTTGTCTGCGTCATACTCAGTCGTCTGCCTACACAGATCTGGGACAGAAATTATTTCCAGAAACACATTGAGGATGTGGGTACCACGATGGGAGAGCAGACATGATCTTAGAGGCCCGGCAGTTGCAGGAAAAGTCTCAAAAACTAATATTGAAGTGTGCGCTAAATAGTCGAACTAATGAGGACCTACGTCACTGTCATAATACACCCTAGAGAATCATGATAATATCCAGTCATAGGGACCCATGTACGCAGCTGGGCAGGCAGCTCTGTGACGGGATGATAGTGTGTGTGGCCGACAGTGGGTTAGGCTCGGAAGTCTTTGGAGAGTCAAATGGGATTAAGTGGGGATGCGTGTTTGCTTTCAACCTCTTCAGCCTCATATTGTCCACCAAGTTGGTAGACGCCTGTTTTGGCCATCGGGCTGGAAACAAACTCGAAATGAAGGTACAGCGCATGTGAGAATGAGCGTTGGGTGACTGTATTGACCACAAACTTATGGTACACAAAGTACAAGCTAGTTCTAACCGTTCAATATATGATTCAGTATATTATTTGAGGTAGTATTGGGGCTCACAATGGTTTTCAAGGAGGCCGTCTTACGCCCACACCCTGGAGTAAGGTCGTGTACTGTAATTTGCTAGCCTAGAGAGATTTGAGTCGACCGTGAGAAACCCGGCTCAAGGACTGCGTGAGGTCTTGGCCTCTGGGCCTACGCATCGATCTGCCTCCCGCATATTAATGCTTTGGCCATCACCGACACGAGAGACGACCCACCCTTCAACCATGAATGCAATGAGACAGCCGG